TATACTTGAAAAAACCTATGACATTTTCTGCACTTCAATTTCTCAAAATTATTCTTCAAGACTGTGATGTCAACATAAACTTTTGAGGTCCGACAGGGATTTGTACCCAGTTCTCTCAAACGCGAGGCGAGAGCGCTATCCACTCATCCACCATACCTGACTAGATTTTGCGTTTCAAACTAAACCTTGATTGTAGATAAAGCGTGAAATATAAAATACAAACATTGCCTTATTTACTGTTATTTGCAGTATCACACTGCAGAATACTTTCTTTTAGTTGCAGGTTCCATTTTTTATGCTGTAAAATGGGGTGCTTTTCCTTTTTGAAAGGGTTATTTTCTTTTTCTGAGAGCGGTTCATACCGGTGACACTTGCAGATGCGGAACCTTTTAAACACAGTTTGCCGTGTCGGTGACAAGCGACACTGCGGCTGTATTGGTCACGTGGCTTTTTCATAAAGCGACACGCGCGCCGATACGAGGTTTCGCTAAACGAACTCGGCACATGCGCCGCTGTATCAGTGTTGCTGGACCCAATCTAATCAAGGCTCATTACAGAGAAAACTTGTTCACAAAGTTGCACTCAAAGCTAACACACACAAATATGAATATTGTGAAATGCCATTTACAACCTACTATTGTAAATACGTTATTTGCTCTATGAAGAACTCACTGTTTCATTTAAGTTAGTAACAGATTTACAGTTAAAACAGAGTGAGTATTTGTATTATTAATTAAAGTGTTTATGTGCACAAAAAGTTGAACGCTGGTCTAAACAATTCATCATTTCATCAAAAGAATAATGGTCCAACTAATCCATCCAAAATATATGTTTCTTGCATTGATGTAGATTTGTTTTTTTAAATGTGCTGCTGCTGTTTGAGCAAATACAATAATGAGTTGCGTGTTTAACAAACGGTTCCAAACATCGGGTGCACCAGGTTTCATGTCTTGCCAACAACATCGCATTCACCAATCTAAGTTATTTTACTGCAAACATAGCTGCAAAAAGTTCCGTTCAGGTGTAAACGTTTAATTATTGTTTGTGCAACTCTGAATGTTGTTGGAAGTCATTTGTTGTGTGTGAAAATGTCCTTCTGTGCAAACACGTCAGATTCTGTGGCTGTTTTGTGTGTGAGGGTGTGTCTCCAGGATATAGAGCCATTTCCTTGTCCAGAAACGTTGTGTGTGTGTGTGTGTGTGTGCGTGTGTGTGTGTGTGAGATTTACGGTGCCCATAAAATGAAGCCGTAAGTCGGGATGGAGGTGGTCATCATTTACGGCCGTGAATATAGATATAGGACATTACCTGCAACACACAGAGAGAAAAGACGGGATTAGAGCCAAAGACAAAGACTCAAGAGTTTGGTTTAGTTTAGTTTGTTAAGATCCCCGTTCTTCACGTGGGCTCTCCTCGAAATCGCTAAAATACACACCATCCATCTCCTCACACACACACACACACACAACAACAAACTATGTCAAACCATAAACAAAATAGCAGAATTGGCGATCAGAAAGTCAACGGCAATTTCTAAAGTGCTAAGATGCCATTGATTTGGGGTGGAACCATCTATCCTGCAATTTGACAATTTTTATGACACATACACGTTATATAACTGCATCTAAAGGCTGTTAGCTTTAGGGTTTAGGGAGGTTGGAAAAAAATCATTGACTGCATCTTTAAATAAATGCATTTAAAGGGAAAAAACATTGGCCGGATGTACTTAAAGCTCCTAAATACTATGATGGGACCTCCAAGTTAAAGCTGGGTTACCTGACTCTCTCTGATTTCCAACAAATTAAATGTTTTGCACAGACACAACAGTCTGTCTTCAACTTATTAGAATAAGAAAAATCCCGGTCAATATTGGTCAGATTGGGCTGAGAGCTGATTGGCCGAGTGATAGTGTCCCTTTCTTTTTTGACTTTTCTGTCTGAAAAAGCTGATTTAGAGACGTGAGGAAGGCCAAGAATACATGTCTTGAAAAAATAAGTTAAAAAAACCGATTTATGAGCGAGAAACAAGCTCCAAGGATGTATTTATTTACAAGACAAGAAATTTTTATCTACCATAAACTTTCCAGCCCCTAAATCTTGTTATTGTTTTCATTTTGATGTCCCGCCCTCCACCGTTTCACCAATCAGAAAGTCTGTGATCCGGGAGCCACAACTCACCGTGTGGAGCTAATCTCACTGGTAAAGTACCATGTGGCGCAGAACTAAAAAAGGTCTTGTTATGATTCTCAAATCATTAACAACAAAACAAGGAATAAAATCAGGATTTCTATCTTTGTGAAAAAGGTGTTGGTTATAGATTTGTTGTTGACAAAACTCTTGTCTATTCAGCTGTTATGGTCCCAGCTGGATTCGTCTGCATATCTGGCAACCTGAGTCAGGGAGAGTGGGAGAGGCTGCAGTACCACTTTTGGCCACGTTTTTACTACTCCTTTAAGGGAATATTCCAAACACATACATTATTCCTACAAAAATCAACAGCAGAGGTCCTTTTTCCCATTCTCCTGGAGTGACCCTGAACCCCTCTCTCTCCTCTTGCCCTTCACTCCAAGCTTCTCCCTCCACAGACTTGTATTTAAAGCCCTAAATCCAATCTCCCAGAACTCAGGAGCTGGAGAGGTTTTAACCACTTACGTCACAGAAGAGAACATCCATCACGGGTTAAGAATAAAAAATCTGTTCCGTCATGGTGGACACGAGCAAAGGTTTCATTCTAACAAACAAGAGAAGAATTGTTCAACGGGACAGGGCCATTCACTCATTTTCATTAATTTCTTTTTAAATTGTAGGGATGAAAGGCAATTTCAGAGACCAAATAATGGATTTAAGGTATTTTCAGTAAAAGGCAGCAGTGGTTATTGAAAGGAAGATAAAAAACAATATTATTTGGATTTGGTTCAGAGGCCAACGAGAAAAGAAACATTAAAACGGGGCGACAGTGGCTCAGGTGGTAGAGCATTGGCCTATGAGCCTGAAGGTTGTGGGTTCGAGTCCACCACAAGACTTTCTCCACTGACTCCCACTGATGTCTGCTGTCATTGTGTCCTTGGGCAAGACACTTCTGGGAACAGCAGGTGCCACAGTGGGGCGGCTGCGGCTGTAAAGTGCCAAACTGCTGCTGTATACTTAGGCAAGACACTTCACCCCACATTGCCTAGAATGAGTCTGGTGTGTGTGTGTGAAAGGTTGGTGGTGGTGGGAGGGGCCTATGGCACAGACTGGTTGCCTCGCTTCTGTCAGTGTGCCCCAGGGCAGCTGTGGCTACAATAGTACTTTATCACCACCGTGTTTAGAGAGAATGAATAATGACATGTGAAGCGTCTTTGAGTGTCCAAAAAAGCGCTGTATAAAACCATCCATCCATCCATCCATTTTCTTCCCCTTAATCCATTTCTGGATCTGGGGGGTGGCAGTCACAGAGCACCAGCCCCTCACTGATCCTCCTGCAGGTGCTGAGTCCACAGGAGCTGAGATCTTTCAGTGGGGGCTTCAGGCAAAGTGGGGTTAAGTGTCTTGCCCAAGGACACAACGACAGCAGTCATCAGTGGGAGTCGTGAAGTAGGTCTTGAGGTGGGCTTGAACCCACGACCTTCAGGCTCAAAGGCCAATGCTCTACCAACTGAGCTACTGTCGCCCCTTGTACAAAACCAATGCATTATTATTATTATTATTAGTAAAAGCCCTAACATAGATTTGTATGATTGGGTTGTGACAAATGCAGTTTGGAAAAGTTTAGAACCATCACCATATACAAACAGTTCACCGTTTGGATGTGTGTGTGTCGGATGAGGCCGTAAAAGCACAGTTGATTGCCGTTGTGTTTTCGTCCCATTCCCTCTCACTATAGTGGAGAAAATGTAATGTACTATCCCTGGTGGCAAAAAACTTATTGTGAAAAGTCCCGCTCCTACTGCGGCACTAGAACGCTGTCTGTTCCTGATGTACTGGGTTTAATGAGTCTGACTAAACTTTCTCCACCGCCAATACACTTTTCTTATCTCCCTTGGACTGCTTACAATTTCTGCTGCGTTTACCAATCTAGGGCCCCATCAGCTAGATCAATGGAACCATAATATTACAAAACTGATTTTAGATTTTGTGCAGAGTTTGTTATAATTCACAGAGATAGCAGTGGTTGTTTGTAGCCATACAGTACAAAATGGTGGACATTTATGCACGTATAGTCTGCAGATTAAGTAAATCCATCTCATATCAAGTGACCTAAACTGTCTTAATATCCATCTATTGTTTTGGAGAACAAATATAGGATGATTTATATGTATTGGCTGATCTTACAACTGCATTTCTGACAGTTTAAAACAATACACTTAAAAGTACTTTAGTTTCGTTCTAAGCTACAACAGCAGTCGTGTCGGAGGACTTTACAAAGTTTCTAGAATCAAATAAAAAACACTGGACATGCAAAAATAACAAACACAGGAGCCATTGGTCCATGGGATGAACAATGGCCATAAATGTAAAAAATGTCCATAAATGTGAGAAGGAGGAGATAGAAGAGGAGAAGGAGAAGGAGATGAAGGAAGAGGAGAAGGAGAAGGAGGAGAAGGAAGAGGAGAAGGAGAAGGAGGAGAAGCTGAAGATGAAGATGAAGAAGAAGAAAAAGAAGAAGAAGAAAAGAAGAAGAAGAAGAAGGAGATGAAGATGAAGGAGAAGGAGGAGGATAAGAAAAAGAAAAAGAAGAAGGAGAAGAAGAAGGAGACGGAGGAGAAGGAGAAGAAGAAGGAGACGGAGGAGAAGGAGAGAGAAGGAGAAGAAGAAGGAGAAGAAGAAGAAGGAGAAGAAGAAGGAGAGAGAAGGAGAAGAAGAAGGAGAAGAAGGAGACGGAGAAGGAGAAGAAGGAGAAGAAGAAGGAGACGGAGGAGAAGGAGAGAGAAGGAGAAGAAGAAGAAGAAGAAGAAGGAGACGGAGGAGAAGGAGAGAGAAGGAGAAGGAAGAGGAGAAGGAGAAGGAGGAGAAGCTGAAGATGAAGATGAAGAAGAAGAAGAAGAAGAAAAAGAAGAAGAAGAAAAGAAGAAGAAGAAGAAGGAGGAGAAGAAGAAGAAGAAGAAGGAGACGGAGGAGAAGGAGAGAGAAGGAGAAGAAGAAGAAGAAGGAGAAGAAGAAGGAGACGGAGGAGAAGGAGAGAGAAGGAGAAGAAGAAGAAGAAGGAGAAGAGAAGAAGAAGAAGAAGGAGTCGGAGGAGAAGGAGAGAGAAGGAGAAGAAGAAGGAGAAGAAGGAGACGGAGAAGGAGAAGAAGGAGAAGAAGAAGGAGACTGAGGAGAAGGAGAAGAGAAGAAGAAGGAGAATTGTAGATTGATTCACAAATATACACATCAAGGCCTGCTCCTTAAAGACAAAGTGGGTTAAGTGTCTTGCTGAAGGACACAACAACAGCAGTCGGTGGAGAAGGTCTCATGGTGGACTCGAACCCATGACCTTCAGGCTCAAAGGCCAATGCTCTACAACTAAGCCGCTGTTACCCTGGGATGACGGAGAAAAGATTTGGCACACCTTCACACCCTCTGATCACACAAACACTAACAGTGGATAACTAGATTAGAACCCATGAGGGCCTTCTTATTGAAAATAAAAAGGGATTTGACATTTACATTTATGCGAGATGAGTCAGTTTGTCGTCACCACATACATAATATATAAACGGCATCAAAGAACTGATGACGCACACCGGAACCAAGCTTTCCTGGAGGAATGAGAACATATAAGAACAGCTTTAGGCAGAACGAGCGATCTAGTCTAAAACACATGAATCAGTGTATTTCAGTTATAAAAACACAATATTACGGATTAGATTTAGGTAAAAGAGGCGGGAGCTCATAAGATTGTTCAAAAAAATCACTTATAGTCCATAGTGAACTTAATTTTTATGATTTTTTAACATTTTCCGGTGATTTCATTGTGTGTTTTAATACTCTTTGTGATTTTAATTGTATTTTAAATGTTTGTGTAGATTTAAATATGTATGATTTGGTTGATGTGATAAGGGTTGTGAGGCGCTCTCCAAATAAAAATGATTGATTGACAAAGGAATGCCTAAAATACTGTATATGTTCATGTATGTATGTGTATATATCACGCATAATACTGTAGATAATAAGGTATGTATTTGTAAAATCTTAAAAATTATATAAACAAGTGAAGATGAAAACTTTTTTTTAGACACCTATAAAAGATTACATTAACGACAATGTAAATGTAAACGTGCACTTTAATGTCCGTGTAGGGAATTGTGTTCTCTGCATTTGACCCATCTAAATCAGGTCTTCCGCAGCTGGAGGATTTTACCTACTGTGCATGTTTTTAGTGGTGGGGGAAACCGGAGCACTTGGATGAAACCTACACAGACACAGACAGAGCATGCGAGCTCCACTCAGAAAGTGTTTTGACCGGGATTCAAACCGTGGACCTTCAAGCAGAGAAGCGAAAGTGCCTACTATAGATCACTTTCATACTAAGCATTAGGTAGCACTCGGGTCTCTCTGTGGGGACGCAGAGGCGAGACTGCTAACCACTCAGCCACCGTGCGGGTCTAGAAACCTTCCTTAATGCACTGTTAACATTCAGATGCAGTAAAATGGTCCAAATGCCATTTCCTCAGCTCTTTGCAGATGGGATTCTCCTTGGCCTCATCTCTCGCTGCTTTTTCTGCCTCTACACATGTGCCACAGCCGCATTTCCTTCCCTCAGATAATGGAATTTCCTTGGTATAATAATAGTCATTTGAATTTCACGCCCCGGTGCGTTGGTACGGGAAAGGCGAGTGCGGTGGTATAAATTAGCCCGTGTGCTCCGCTCTGATCGATGTCTGGACCACGCAGCACCTATTGATCTGAGACGACACCCGCTCAGCAGCGCTCTGGAACAGCCGACATTCCAGGGAACCAGGAAGTACGGCCGCGTTATCCCAGTCCTCAGGTCCCTTCACTTGCCTGTTAGATTTTTACTTTTGTTATGTGAAATTTGGCACTAAAACTTCAAAAAGTCTGCTGTAATGTGAATCATGTTATGCCATTTTTGTCAACACGCAACACTATTTTGGACAAATTCTATTTTTGAAAACGGCAAATAACTTTCTGTCAGGCGAACTGTATGATTTCTGAGCGTGTTGCTTTGACAGCCTGTGTTTTCTGTCACAAGAGACTGATCTTTGAGGTCGGGCCCCGAGAATAAAAAACATGACACCTGCAGATAATCAGCAGATCTCACTTCATGTCTCACAAAATAATAATTATCAGTCCTTTTTCACGGCAGGAGGCCAAAGTCATACAGGAGACATCAGCACGTCTTACACAATAGGCCAATGTTAACAATCCAACGCTGTCGAAATGACCTTAAATAGACAGCTCACAGAAAAGTCCCTCCTCGACGGACTTAACTTGAACCACGAAGCAGTTCATAGTCGCGTTTTGAACTGCGGCACCATCATTGCTGACATATCTGTAAAATATTTGAGCATGAAAAATGTTTGATCACTTCCATCACCAAAGATCAAGACTTGGATATTTCATTTCTGGGTCGGGGGGGGGGTTAAGTGGTTAAGTGTCTTGCCCAGGGACACAACGACAGCAGACATCAATGGGAGCAGGTGACATGGGTCGTGGTGGGCTTGACCCCACTTGTATAATAAAGAGAAAATCCAAGCAACTCAGATGATTGATGAAATAGCGCCGCTCTGATGATAAAAAGACAAAAAATATGACGTTGATTCAAAAGCCATGAACTGGTTGAGAGCTTCTGGAGAAACCATCACCCCAAGAACACAATGGGCACATGCATTCACAGTTAATACATTATTATCCACAATGAGGTATTTTTGCGTAGCCTGGAGAGACTCAAACAAAAACATGATCTCACAGACGCACTAATTAAGCAGCCTCCTCAAATGAACCCCACAACGCCGGAATAAGCACATCTGGGAGCGTGTTCAAAGCTGCAGCATCACAGTGGGCAGCCGCGCAAAAAAGCAACGCCCGGGTGGAGGCTCCCCTGCCAGGAATCTGATAATAAATACTTAACGGGGGGATAGAAGGACTTACAAGGTTTCAATAGAACCACTCTCGTTTATGTGGTCATCAGAGGTTCAAGGCAAACCCAGGTGAAAACAATAGGCTTTAAAAAGCTGTGCCCAATCACATGATAAACAACTGAAAAATTCCGTGCAAAATTCTCGTGTGTTTCAGCCAATCAGCAAATATTCAGCAAATTTCATGATTTAAGTTTTAATTTGGACATATCTGGAATGTTTCGGTCAATGCAGTTGTCAAGAAAAGACTGAGGCAGCAGTGTCACTTTAATAACACTGGGTAACAAAATAATATTTTTTGAAAATAGTCCAGGGTTTTCAGCTGAAGTCCGAAAATGACCTTGGTTTTGCTCAATCAGGTCAGGATTTTTTGCTACAGAAGTATTTTTTTAAATCAATTTTTGCGTAAAAAACAAATTTCTGCGGATCATCAGCTGAGAAACCCTTGACGTTTTTTCCGTTTTCCTCAAGAAATAAAAGTCAACGTATCCAAAGTCATTCAGTTTTTATTTACTCCATCAAATTTGATAAGCAGAATTCATAATAACGTAGACGTACATAATCCATAACACTATGGCTGTATCTCAAAAAGTTGACCTGATAGAGCAAAATGCATGTGATATTCAGACTCAGAACACCAACATTAGTCTCAGTCAGTTGAGAAACCCCTGACCATTTTTTGGCTGTCAACTTGTGTAATTGGTGCTGAAGATAAAGACACTAGAGTGGATCAGAACAACAACATTCAGTTCTTGAGATAATAATGTTTGGCAGTAATGCAGATATAACAGAGTCTAAACCGAGCAGGTCAGACTCTACACCGTGTATTTATGGTCTTGCTGTGACTTTCACTGTGCATCACTTTCAAACCAGTAAACTGTTTAATACAACCTGTTCTTGGCTCTAGTCCCATCACAACATTTTCACATGCATGTATTTATGACCTCTGTCACATCTAAAATGTGACAGACAAAAATACAGAATAAGAAAATTACAGCATGTTGTGGTCTTAATTTTTATTTTACAAAACTGTTTGATAAATTATATGTGTTATTTATGATAATGCAGTTAAATAATCTTCTATCATACCTCTGTGTGGGTAAAATAATCAATAACTTGTAAAAAATATATTGAATACAGTTTGTCACTTTTGTATGTCCCAGTGGATCCTTTAACACTCTCCAAGATCGACCAATCTGCCACAAAGAAAACTGCTAATTTGTCTAAAATCGAATGCTCAACGTAACTTTCGATCTCTAGACTGTCTTTTACAAACACAAATATAAGACTGGAAATTGAAAAAAGTGTAAGGAATAAATGCTACTTCTCAGTCGGAGCGTCTGGCGCCCTGCAAGCAAGGTCTTCATCGAAAGCTTTTTTAAGTAAGTAAGTAAGTGAAGTTTATTTGTATAGCGCCTTTCACAGACCAGGATCACAAAGCGCAGATTAAAACACATAAAATACACATACAAGTCAGATAAAAGCAGAACAAAGAAAAACACAGATTACATTCACAGAGGCCTATGAACAGTGGAGCGAGAAAGACTGTCTAAACAAATACGTCTTTAGTTGGGACATCAACAGTCTCTACAATACGCAGAGACTGAGGAAGCCCATTCCAAAGGTGAGGAGCAACTGCCTGGAAGGATCTGTCTCCTCTGGTTTTCGAGTGCGGGGGACCATTAACAGGTTCTGAGTGGAGGACCATCAACAGGTTCTGAGTGGAGGACCATCAACAGGTTCTGAGTGGAGGACCTCAGGGTTCTGTTGGAAACATAGGGGTGGATCAGGCCTTGGATGTATTCAGGCGCCTGACCATGAAGAGCCCTGAATGTCAGCACCAGAATTTTAAAATGGATTCTGTGTGAGACAGGGAGTCAGTGTAAGGCCTTCAAGATAGGAGTAATGTGGGCTCTCCTGTGGGTGCGGGTCAAAAGCCTCGCAGCAGAATTTTGGACGACTTGTAAACGAGCCAGGTCTTTCTTATTAAGACATGTAAGCAGGCTGTTACAGTAGTCCAATAGACTAAAGTGGACTACGATACTAAAGTGAGTCATAATTCTTCAGTATGAATCTAGCAAAGCCCAGGAAAGTACTGGCATATTCTCTGACTGTTATGCAGGTATTAAAAAAGGCAAAGTCCCACGATACAGAACATTTTTAAAGAGTACATCAAACCAGCACTGCCTCCTGCACCTGCATATTCCATTCCTTGTCATATCATAAATGCCCACAA